TGTATATATTTTATTGAAGTTTTGTGTATTTCATATACAACATCTTAATCATCTTTATACCCTCTTCCCCATCGGTACTGTACCATAGCCCCCCATAGGATTGCATGCATTCCGTTATTTATGTTAAAGCCTATGGAGTCAACTTAGTGTCCCCAGACATCCCTCAGTACAAGTTCATCCACTGGGGTTTAGTCAGTCTATCTATAGTCAATTCCTTAAGGAAGATCAGCTCTTCCTCACCCAGCAGTAATCAGCTACCCAATAGTTCTTTGGATAAGTTTGGTGCTTGCTGTTCATTTTCACATTTCTATGCTAGGTTTTTGTCTGCTTGAGTTTGCATAGGTCTTGTGCATGCTGATACCATTGCTGTAAGTTCATATGAGCAAGATCCTAGAAGTCTGTAAGATTCTATTTCCATATAGTCAGGCACCTCCTCCCCTGGCTCTTACAATCTTTCTGCCCCTTCTTCTGCTATGGTCCCTGAGCCCTGGGTAGGAGAAGTTTAATATAGGAGTCCTGTCTAAGGACCCACACTCTGCAGACTCTTATTTGCTATATTTTGGCCATTTGTGACCCTTTGTGTTCACTTTCCTTTATTGTGTGAGGGAGCTTCATTGATGGGAGGGGAGTTGAGAGATGCGCTAGTATTCTCTCTACCCCTTGTTCCACTGTGTTCCTTGAGCCTTAGAGATAGAGGTTCCATTATAGATGTGTCACTTAGGGTTGGGCACTTCACAGACACTTAATCTCTGTGTGTGACCAGTTATGGAACTCTGTAATAGCCTCTGTCTGTTGCAAAAGAAGGTTCTTTGGTGAGTGGTGACTGGAATACTTGTCTGTAAATATAAGGGTTCATATTTAGCACATAGTAAAACATTTACATTTGTATAGGGATGTGACAGCCTTGGGGTTTTCTCTAAGATCTATGACATCTCCAGCCATGAGTATTTGGCTATGTTTTACAGTTCCACGCATGAGTTCCCTTCCAAAGAGTGGACTGTAAGTCCAGTTAGGTAGCTGTTAATTACCCCCAAGATAAAAGTGCCACTACTGCCCCAATATAGTTTGCTGTGCCAGTCATTGTTGTGGTTATTAGCCTTTAAAGTTGGGGTTGAACCATCAATTGATGTTCTCCCTTAGCAGCTTGCACAGCATTTCCCAAAACTATGAGAGCTAGGCTTCAGGGATGTGACTTCCAGCTCCATTGCTCCAAGTCCTAGCATATGGCTTTTTTATTTTTTTATTTTATGTGTATGCATGTATTGCCTGAATGTAGGTAAGTATGCCTATGTCGTGCAATGCCCTCGGAGGACAGAAGAGGCTGTTGGATCCCCTGGAACTGGAGTTACATACAGTTGTTAGCTGCCATGTGGGTGCTGGGATTTGAACCTGGGTCTTCTGCAAGAACAGCCAGTGTTCTTAACCACTGAGCCATCTCTCCAGCCCTGTATATGACTTTTTTTGTTTGTTTTTTTTTGAGACAGGGTCTCCTTGTAGCCCCAGCTGTCCTGGAACTCACTATGTAGACCAGGCTGGCCTCAAACTCACAAAGATCTGCCTGCCTCTGCCTCCCAAGTGCTGGGATTAAAGGTGTGCGCTACCACACCTGGCCCCCGTATATGACTTTTTTAAGGAAGGGGTCTCAGTGCAGCCCTAGCTGGCCTGGAACTCACTATGTAGACCAGGCTGACCTCGAACTCACAGAGATTCACCTGCCTCTGCCTCCCAAGTTCTGGGATCAAAGGCATGTTCTACAACATTCAGCACTTTATATGACTTTATTATACTTTGTTTTTTGTGTTTTTGAGACATGATCTCATGTATCTCAGGCTGGTCTTGAACTCACTATGAAGCTGAGGATGACCTTTAACTCCTGATCCTCCTGCCTCCACCTTTTGAATACTGGGATTACAGGTGTGCATCAACACACACTCCACAACATCATAAAGTTTTAAATAATTCTAACAGTCTGTCTGTTCAGACTGAACTGTTTGTTCAGCTTCAAGCTCTGGGTTTTTAAAAATATTTTATTATTTTTAATTTTTATGTGTATGAATGTATTACCTGCATGTGTGTGAGGGCACCCATGTCGTGCAATGCCGCGGAGGTCAGAAGAGCTTCAGATTCCCCTGGAACTGGAGTTAAGGATGGTTCGTAGCCACCATGTGGGTGCTGGGAATCAAACCCGGGTCCTCTGCAACAGCAGTCAGTTCTCTTAATCGCTGAGCCATCTCTTCAGGCCCCTCAAGCTCTGTTTTTGTCTTTCAGTATGTCCTATATCTTTGTTGACTGGTGGGCGGGCACAATGTACTGAGTAAAAGAAACTGGTAAATCTGGGTATAGTGCTGCGTACTTGTAATCCTAGGAGGAGGAGGTCAGAGGACAATCTGCAAGAGTAGGATCTCTTCTTCCATCACGTCAGGCCAAGAGATTGAACTCAGCTCATCATGGTCGGTGGCAAGCACCTTGTCTGGAAAACCAAAAGGGGATAGAAGGAGATAGAAATTATTTCTTTTTTTCATTCTTTTTTTTTTTTTTTTTTTCGGTCTTTTTGAGACAGGGTCTCCCTGTAGCCGCAGCTGGCCTGGAACTCACTATGTAGACCAGGCTGGCCTCGAACTCACAAAGATCTGCCTGCCTCTGCCTCCCAAGTGCTGGGATTAAAGGCATGTGCCACCACGCCCAGAGAATTATTTTATTTTTAATTACATTTATTTATTTGTCTTTTGTTTATTTGCATTTTACGTGTATGACTGTTTTGCCTGCAGTACCTGTGGAAGCCAGAAAGGGGCGTTGGATTCCCTAGAGGTACAGGTGGTCGTGAGCTGCTATCTGGGTTCTGGGAACCAAATCTGGGTCCTCTGCAAGAACAACCAGTGCTCTTAACCACTGAACCACCTCTCCAGCCCCATGCTTATTTATTTCGTATGTGTGTGCATTCATAAACTCCATGGCACAAGTGGAAGTCAGTGGACAACTTCCAAGAGTCAGTTCTTGTCTTCTACCCTGAGGGTCCAAGGTTTTGATTTCAGGTTCTCATAGTTGGTGGCAAGTATCTTTACCTGCTAAGTCATCTCACAGGGCCCATGTCAAATGAGTTTTATTTCCAGGACTTCTATTTGATTCTTTAAAAAAAAAAAAAAAAAAAAAGAGAGAGATGTATGTCAGAGCTGAAGAAATGGCTCAGCAATTAAGAGCATTTGCTGCTTTTGTAGAGGACCCAGATTTGATTCCCAGCACACACATGGACGTTCACAACTATCCATAGTTCCAGTTCCAGGGGCTCTTTTGCCCTCTTTTGGCTTCTGAAGGCAGTACATGCATGTGATGCACTTACATGCAGTCAAAACACTCACATAAAATATACATTTAAAAAATCTGTGAAAAAGCAGTTTGTACTCATCACATAGTATGACAATCCCAATTGATTTATTTTGCTTTGCTTTTTTTTTTATTTTTTCTTGAGACAAGATCTCACTATGTTGCTCAGTCAGGTCTGGAACTCACTATATAGCTACATAGCCCAAGTTAATCTGGAACTAACTGTATATTCATTATGCATCCCTGGCTGGTCTAGAACTTGCTCTGTAGACCAAGCTGGTCTCAAATTCACAGAGCTCCACCTGCATCTGTCTCCCAAGTGCTGGAATTAAAAGTGTGTGCCACCATATCTGGCCTCCTTTAAAACATTGTATAGGAGACTGGAGAGATGGTTCAGTACCATAACCTCTTGTAACTCCAGCTCCAGGGGATCTGGCATCCTCTTCTGGCCTCCATGGCTATCTGCACTCACAGGGACATATACAAATAATGAAAAATAAAATAAATCTTTTTTTTTAAATATTTTATTTATTATAAACAAAGGAATGAGTTTCTCTTTTTGTTGTTATAGATCTTGTTTCGTTCCAAACTCTTGGGTAGTTATGGACAGTTGTTAGCTGCCATGTGGGTGCTGGGATTTGAACCCAGGTCTTCTGGAAGAACAATCAGTGTTCTTAACTGCTGAGCCATCTCTCCAACCCCAAAATAAATCTTTAAAAAAAGAAAAAAATTAAATTAAATGAAGGAGGGGTGTGTGTGCATGGAAGACATGACAGCTTTCAAAGCTGATTCGCTCCTTTGGCTGTGGGTTCCAGGGATTGAACTCAGGTTGTCAAGCTTGCAAAGGCTTACTGCACTATCTCACTGGCCCAACACATTTTAAATACCTTTTCTGTTTACAACACCTCGATTAGCTATACATCTATTTATATTGTCTGATTCTTCTCTTAAATATGGGTCATATTATCTGTTTTTTATATATCTAGTAATTTTTTTTTTTTGAGACAGGGTCTCCCTGTAGCCCCAGCTGTCCTGGAACTCACTATAGTAGACCAGGCTGGCCTTGAACTCAACAGAGATCCGCCTGCCTCTGCCTCCCAAGTGCTCAGATTAAAGGCGTGCCCCACCACACCCAGTGTATATCTAGTAATTTTAAGTCTCTTATTGTGCAGTAGAGATAATCTGCCAGAAGTACTCTAGATTCTGTTATTCTCCTGTGAAGACTTTTGAGTTTTCCACTAGCCTATACTGATGGATCATCTTGCTGTTTTGGAAATTTAGTTTTAGGGTTCATCAGAGAAAGTCCATTTTGTTTAGGTCTTGGTCCTAAGAAAATTTCCCTAGCCTTCGTAAGGCCTAGCCTTTCTGGAGTTTTCCTGAGAAAGCATTAGGTAGTTCCAAACTCTGTCTCCTGTGTGGTGGAAAGTTATGAAAATCTATGCTCTGTTCTGACAACCTGTAGTTTCTTCCCTGGGTGTCTCTGTCTCTGTCTCTGTCTCTGTTTCTCTCTCTCTCCCCCCCCCCATCTCTCTGTCTCTGTCTTTCTTTGCAAGTGCTCTACCACTGAGCTGCATTCCCAACCATGGGTTCAGGTCTTTGTGAGTCTTTCACTCTCTCCCTTTCCCTCCCTTCTGCTCACTTTCCTTCCCTCACTCACTTCTGTCTGGCTCTCCTTACAGGGAGAACCTGGCCCCAAAGGAGACCCTGGTGAGAAGAGCCAATGGGTAAGCTCTAGCCCTCCCCCCACCTCCCCCTGCCTTCTCTTGCCCTGGGGGCTCAGGAGAGAATTCTGTCACCAACAGACCCTGAAACTGGGGCATCCCATCCATATCCTCTCAGAAGCTCCAGACCCTACATTCCTCCTGGTACTCCCCGCTAGGCAGGACCAGCTCTCCCAGCAGACTCCACACTCACTCTCTGTGTCTCAGTCTTTGTCTCGGTCTCCACCCATCTCCCCCTGCCACCTTTTCAGGCCAAGGTGGCTCTGCCTATTCCTGCGGGGCAGGCTGGGTGACCCAAGCCAGACTGCATCTCTACTTCCATGGTCCCTCCTGGCAAATGTTTTGGTTTTGTCTTGCTGTCTACTGAAGAAAGGGAAGCATGAATACAGTATCCACCCAAAACAGAAAAGGGACCGTTGGAGCACAGGGAATCCATGGTTAAAGAGACAGGGGTCCTAGAAACCACCATACACATAGAAAATCCAGGAAGCCTAGGAAGGGAAACCTTAAAACCTTGATGGATATGTTTGACATGGTTAGTGAGGTTGAGATTGAACTCCACTATACCCAAAAGACTTGTAATGACATGAAGCCCTGGATACCCATCATATACTTAAAAGACCCATGAGGGAAGGCTAGAAACTATCACATACAAAGGCAAACTATGAGACATGAGATAAGGTAATCTAGCCACTACCATCTACAAAGCAAGGCATGAACAACAGAAAGGGAAGCCTAGAAACAGTCACATACATAGCAGACACAGAGCAAATTGGCCAGGAGGTCCTAGAGATCACACACTCAGAAAATCTCATGATGTGTGCATGTGAGGTCCTGGAAATCTTCAAGATCAGTGGAGAAAATGGCAGTGAACAAATTTCAAGGCCTAGGAATCTACTCCACTTAAAGACATGTGAAGAAGGAAGCCTAGGTCATACCATGCCCCAAAGTCTAGCTATGTGGGCCCCTGGAAACCATTGCTAACACAGTAGACATTTGGAATATAGGCAGGGTGTGAGCAGACATCCCTACAAGAGACAGCCTGGGTGTTTGGACAGTGGCATTGTGCAGCCCGCACACATGCAGTCTGGCTGGGACGCCCTACTTCCTGGTTGTTGTTTAGTGAGGATGTGGACAGCCCCAGTACCTGCCTGCCTTCTTTGTTTTTGATCTTGGGGTTAGTGATGGATACAGCCGTGGGAGCCTCTCACCCTGCATGAGTCCTCCTCCATGTCTCCCATGAATTCTGCAGGCCCTGCTACCTCTCCTAACTGCCTGCTGCCCTCCCATATCACCCCTTCCCTCCATTGGTTCCAGGCCTCTACCAGTGTGGGTTGGGTCCAGCTGGGGGTAGGCAGAATGGGTCTCTCAGAGCAATCCTCTGTCTCCCCTAGCCTAGGTCACTTCCTCTCCTTTCCCAGAGACCCTCGGTGTAAAAACAGGTTTTTCACCCAGCCCAGGAGCAATGGGAAAGATCAGGGTACAACAGAACCAGCCTGTACAATCCCATCCCTGCATGGGAAGTCTTGGCAGAGGGTCAGGTTGTCTGGGCAGCCACAGACCAGGCCTTGCACCCAGCACCACCTGTAGGAGGGGTTCCCAAGTGGTAGCAGGATCCCTACCTGTCCACCTTCCTCCCTTCACCTGCATTTCTACCCTAGCTTGCTGCCTGCCTGGGAGAGGGCTCGCTGAGCTGGAATTGCATGAGCTTCAAGGGGCTGAGGGGCCAGCGCTGTTAGAGGTAGATGGGTATACTGGTACAGTGTTGGCAAGTTCCTGCGGGCTGCGATAGATACACTTCACCTACCAGGGCCCCTTTGGGGTTAGTGCATCTTTCAGGGCCTCTGGCCAGGCTTGGCTGTGGCTCAGTAGTGACACCAGGTGGTCACAAGAGTGTACTGAAGGAACTGAATGATTGGCCTGAGCTACTCTACCTAGTAAAGAGGGAAGCCATCACCCCTTATTGAGAGAGGGAAACTGAGGTAAGAAGTGAAAGTGGGCCCAAGACTTCTAAACTCCCAGAGGGGCTAGGGAACCTGCTACAAGTCCCTAAGCATTTCTTCTGTGTGTGCCAGGCTGAGGGCTGGGCAGTGTAGGGAGATGCTATGCAGACGCAATCCCTGTGGATAGTCACCATGGGACAGAGAAAAAAGACCATGGTCAGCCGCCACAGGACATAGGGCATTTAACAGTGTTGGGGGAGTCATAGTGTCCTGGTGGAGACAAACTGGGCCTGGAAGGTGCATAACTAGTCACAGGGTGTTCAAATGGGAAAGAGGGGACAGCATATACAAAAGCCAGGGACAAGAGTGAGCCCAGGATATCTGCAGAGTTGCAAGTACTTGGAAGTGGCAGTTTGATATGCAAAAAGTGAAATGGACTTAGGAGGCCATATTAAGGAATTTGAACTTTGTTCTACAGACATTGGGGCATCATTTAAGAATTTATAAATGGGGGAAGGGAGCCGGATGTGTAGTGCACACCTTTAATCCCAGCACTTGGGAGGCAGGGGCAGGCAGATCTCTGTGAGATCAAGCCCAGCCTGGTCTAGTAGTGAGTTCCAGGCCATCTGGGGCTATAGGGAGACCCTTTCTTAAAAAGACAATAAAGCTGGGCATAGTAGCACATGCCTTTAGTCCCAGTGCTCTCAGAGGCAGAGGCAGGCAGATCTCTGTGAGTTCAAGACCAACTTGGTCTACATAGCAAGTTCCAGGCCAGCTGGAACTACAGGGAGACCCTGTCTCAAAAATACCAACCCCCCCAAACAAATAAACAAAAAGACAATAAAATAAAATAAATTGGGGTGAGGGAGTGGAGAGATGGCTCATTAGTTAAGAGCACTGGCTACTCTTGTAGAGGACCTAGGTTTGCTTCCCAGCACCCATAAGGTGGATAACAACTACCTATAGCTCCAGTTCCAGGGAATCTGGCACCCTCTTCTGGCATCTGCAGGGATTGCATGCATGTGGTGCACTGTATGTAGGCAAAACACTCATACACATAAAATAAAAATAAATAAATCAAGCCAGGCGTGGTGGCGCAGGCCTTTAATCCCAGCAGAGGCATGTGGATCTCTGTGAGTTTCAAGGTCAACCTGATCTACAAAGTGAATTCCAGGTCAGCTGGGGCTACAGGAAGACCCTGTCTCAAAATGAACAAAAAATAAAAATCAATCAATCAAAAAATTAGTATTTATAAACTGGGATCCAGGCATGGTGGTCCATGCTTGTAATCAATCCTAGTACTCAGAAGGCTGAGATAGGAGGTTTACCCACAAGTTCAAGGTGAGCCTGGGCTACAGAGTGATTGCCTCAAAGACCTCAAAAAATTAAGAATTGGGCTGGAGAGATGGTTCAGCGGTTAACAACACTGGTTGTTCTTGCAGAAGACTCAGGTTCAAATCCCAGCACCCACATGGTAGCTAACAACTGTCCATAACTCCAGTCCCAGGGGATCCAACAGCCTCTTCTGTCCTCCATGAGCATTGCATGGCATGGGTGCACTTACCTACATGCATGCAATACACTCATACACATAAAATTTTAAAAAAAAGAGCCAGGTGTGGTAGCACATGCCTTTAATCCCAGCACTCAGGAGGCAGAGGCGGGTGGATCTCTGTGAGTTCAAAGCCAGCCTGGTCTACATAGTGAATTCCAGGACAGCTGGGGCTACAGGGAGACCCTGTCTCAAAAAGACAAAAAAAATAAAATAAAATAAGAGGCTGGAGAGATGGCTCAGGGGTTAAGAGCACCCTCTGATCTTGCAGAGGACCTGGGTTCAATTCCCAGCACCCACATGGTGGCTAACAACCATCTGTACTCCAGTTCCAGGGGAATCTGATGCCCTCTTCTAACCTCCACGGGCATTGCACAACATGGGTGCACCTACCTACATGCAGGCAACACATTCATACACATAAAATAAAAATAAAATATTTTTAAACTGGGTGTGGTGGTGCATGCCTTTAATCCCAGCACTTGGGAGGCAGAGGCAGGAAGATCTCTGAATTCAAGGCTAGCCTGGTCTATATAGTGGGTTCCAGGCCAGCTGGGACCTTCAAGGTGTATTCCTTTCTGGTTTGGCTCAGTGTTCATCAGTACACAGTAGATTGAATGAAACTTTGTATTGTGGTTTGTGATCTTACTCTGTAACACTTGAAGATATCCATGGGAAAAATGTTATTAATTTTGTATCTATTATGGTATGTCTGATGCCCCATGTCAAGGCCAATGTAAATGGCAGTGTGATGAGAGAGAGCGAGAGAGAGAGAGAGAGAGAGAGAGAGAGAGAGAGAGAGAGAATTAAAACATTAAAAGAAAAAGGCAGCAGGGGAATGATGTGATTGGGGTTCTTTGCAAAATGTCTCTAGGGGTGGAGAAATGGCTCAGTGGTTAAAAGCACTGTCTGCTCTTGTCTGCTCTTTCAAGAGTACCCCGGTTCTGTTCCCAACACCCACATGGCAATTAACAATGGTCCACAACTCCAGTTCCAGGTGATCTAACGCCCTCTTCCGGCCTCTGCAGGCATTTCATGCACATGGTGCACTTCCATATGCAGGCAAAATACTCATACACAATCAATCAATCAATCAATCAATCAATCAATCAATCAATCTCTGGCTGCCATATGGAAAACAAATGGGAAATGCAGAGAGGGACCCAGGCAGGATGTGGTGGGCAGCCTGGTCAGAGACTGTGTGGGGCTGGAATTGGGGGCAGGCAGCAAGACAGACAGCTGTCAGTGGAGTGAAGAGGCCAGGGGTGCTGCTTTGGCTGTGAAGAGAAGTGAGGAGGCAAAGAAACTTAAAATAGTAAAAGAGAGCTGGGCCTGGTGGCAGAAGCCTATAATCTCAGGTACTCAGGAGGCTGAGGCAAGCGAATCACAAGTTCAAGGTCAGCCTGGGCAACTTAGTGAGACATTGTATGAAACACACACACACACACACACACACACACACAGGTTGGAGATACAACTCAGTGGTCAAGTGCCTGCCTAGCATGTAT